AGTCCAATAGTTTGTAATCACATCAAGAAGAGTTTTACAGTCATTACCACAATCAACCAGATCTATCATTTTTGGTAGAATTTGAATGCTTATTTAAGTATATTCGCAAAATATTTTAGATCACCTATTGATCTTTTTATTAAAATTGACATTTGGTTTTTCTGCCAATGAAAAGGTATATTTATTATCCTGAAGCTTATTGTTATAAGCAGCCTTTATAAGCTTTTTATTTTTCCTATTTTAAGATGATCTTGAAAACAAATCTGGCATCAATAATACCATTATCCAAAGAGCCTTAGTGACCTTAGTGGTGCCAGGCTCAACTGATAACTCAGTGTTGCTCACAGGGGGTGATGCTGGCCCCTGGAGGGGGTTGTTTGAACAGATGGGTGGGGGCTGCAAAAGCAGATACCTATACTTTATCCTGAATTATAAACTATTAGAGTACAACAATTTTTCATTGGGATTTTTTTCTTCTGAAAATAATCAATTTGGGCTCTGTGCTAAACAAATGGTTGGTGGTTCCAGCCCACCCAGTGACTCCTGGGAAGCAGACTGGCCATCTGCTTTCCTAAAGATAGATGCTAGCCCTGGAACCTCTGTGGAGCAGTTCAAGATACCCTTGTGGGGCCACACTCCGACCTCTAGTCACAGCAGCCCTTCTATCCAGCAATGTTCAGGGGGATTTGGGGGTCAGGGCATGAAGCACGTGGCTTGCAGCTCCGTGAAACTCTTGAGGCGTGCGCTGCTGACTTGCATCTGTTCATGGACTGACTCCGTAAGTCTGAGGGTCATGCCTTCTTTCCATGTAGTACCTTCACGACAATGGCATTATCCACCGAGACTTGAAGCCAGAGAATGTTCTACTGTCATCCCAACAAGAGGACTGTATCATAAAGGTGGGTGATGGGGGTGCTGTGGGGAGGTGTTCCAGTAGACTTCTGTTCCGAATCAGCCTTGTGCGTAGTCAGATAAGAAGTGCGGGCTTGGCGGGCGAGGTGGAATATCTACCTCTTTCACTCTTAGCAGTGGACCCTCGACAGCAGGAGCCTCACTCTTCTGCAGGTCCTTGGGAGTACTCACTGCCTTCAGTTGTGGCCCTCGTGGTGTAGTGGTTACCCATTGGGCTGCTAACCACGAGGTCAGCAGTTTGAAATGACCAGGCGCTAGGCATGAGAAAGATGAGGCTTTCTACTCCCATAAAGAGTTACATTTTCGGGAACTCATAGGGGCAGTTCTACCCTGCCCTATAAGATCAGTGTGAGTTGGAATGAGTTTGGTTTGGGTCTTGGTTGTGAACATGTGCCACTCCTGTCCTCCGACTGAGGAGCTGAGAGGGTCTGAATGGACAGATGAGGTACCATATATACTTGTGTATAAGCTGACTTTTTCCAGCACATTTTTTAATCACTTTATTGGGGGCTCGTACAATGCTTATCACAATCCATACATCCATCCATTGTGTCAAGCACATTTACACATTTGTTACCATCATCATTCTCAAAACATCTGCTTTCCACTTG